TCGCGGGCCCGTCCGATGCGGGCAGCGCAGCCCGTGCACAGGAATAGGCTAATCAAAAACGTTGTGTTGTACAAGAATGTTTTATATCTACAATAATCACTTAGATTCCTCTCGGAGTTCAAGTCAGAATAGAAACTGAGTTCATGGTAAATGATTTCTCTTTAATGGTTTAACTGCGGCTTATCCGGTGCCTTGAGGTGCTCAATCTTAAACTTGACTTCCAGGACTGGGCCATCACCATCATTCTAACGTAAATCGGATCCAGATAACGGATCCTCTCTTGATCCAAATACCGTTTAGACGACATAATTATGGCATAATCAGGCACAGCGCGCCTGACCTTAACGTTGTATCGTGTCAGCATGTCGGACTGCAGTTCAGCCGACACAGTACTGCGAATGGCACGAGGGGCAGCCCTACTGCTCGGATCTGTATAATCCGATCAGTTTTTCAGCGTCGACCTTCGAACAATAAATGCATTGTTTTTACTATTTCGTAAATTGAGTCTCGACCGTATTATTTTATAGTTTTTCTTCATTTAAATATTTAAATTACGAAACGCTCTCAAACGAAAACTTGTCGTTAGCAAAGAGCAGCGTCTCTCAAACGAACTCAAGTGCCGAACTTGTGCACTGTTGGAGTGTCGAAGGTCACCGGATGTATTGTATATCAACCGTGTCCGAGCGGTGATGGCTGCGAGGGTCTGTGCGGAGCCCCAGGTCTGAGCTTGGATTTGTAAGCTCGTCAAATGTTAGTTGTGCGAATCAGGTTTTTTTTTAACTTTGAATATTTTTTGTGGACTTTGAACGTGACATTTTGGCTTATGGACAGTCTCCAGCTTTAGTAAATACACACAAGTTAATTCGTCATAGCTTGTTGGAACGACCAACCGATTTCTTGTATGTATGGTAGATAGTAAAACAGCAATGTCGCTATCTGTCGCTCTGTCCACAGGAAACAGGTAATTGATAACAGTGACACCTATGAACAAACATATCGTGAGCGCCGACCGCTTGTTCATTCATTATCACTATATTTACGACTCTTCATAAAGTGAGTAAACAAAAACACAATATTCGTCTAATAAGTGGACGCTACTGATAATGTTATCGGTCGATTTGTTTATCTACAGTTCGGTGTTTGGTTCATGAAAAAGACGTGGCATCGTCGTATGTGTTGTGCTGCAAACTTACAGGGTTCGACCCCGTACCATTGAGACAGCAACCCGTTCGCTTCCCCCAAGCCTTCAACCTTCTCCTCTCAGACTACCCGCCTTCTGAGCTTGACCACTTGGGTGTTGCCGCAGCGCTGCCCCTCTCCACACGGTACTTAAAGCGCCCTTGGCCATCAGCGGCGGCCTCGTGGTGTGCGCGTTCCTGAGCGACGACAACTACGCACGGCCAAAAAATCGCAGGGAAATTTACTTATTTTATCTTGATAGGTAATTAATTATCTACGTAAATGAAGTCTCAATACAGACTGAGATGTGGGGCACGCACGTGTGGCGGTATGGCGCGCTCGGTCAGTGGGGGAGAGCGACATGGGGCGGGTAATTCCCCGAGTTTTATTCGTCCTCTGTGTGTGTGTGTTCATTGTTTTCGTTTTGAGTCCATTTGCACGACGATTATATTATTATTATTAAGATGATTTATTTGTTTCCAAATATACACTCTGATAAGTTGAATAGCTTAGACAAAATATATCTTTTTTTTATTTTTTATTGCCCTTGTAGGCAGACGAGCATACGGCCCACCTGATGGTGAGTGGTTACCGTCGCCCATGGACTTCAGCAATGCCAGGGGCAGAGCCAAACCGCTGCCTACCTCTTAATACTCTACACAAGCCTCGTTTGAAGAAGGACATGTCATAGCGCTCGGGAAACACCGTGGAGGGGAGCTCATTCCATAGCCGGATGGTACGTGGCAAAAAAGATCTCTGGAAACGCACTGTGGATGACCGCAGTGGCTCCAGGTAGTATGGATGAACTCTACTCCGGTGGCGGGCGGTGCGATGGTAAAAACGAGATGCCGGTATCATNACGTGGCAAAAAAGATCTCTGGAAACGCACTGTGGATGACCGCAGTGGCTCCAGGTAGTATGGATGAACTCTACTCCGGTGGCGGGCGGTGCGATGGTAAAAACGAGATGCCGTTATCATCTCGAACAATTCCTCAGAGCACTCCCCATGGAACATACGGTACAGAATACAGAAGATTCTGAAGAAGACAGAACAGATCTAATAAATGAATAAAAATAATTATTATTTAGGTAAAGCTACTTATAAATAAAAAATCTGGGTTAGCTCACCGCCAGTTGGCAGCGTTCCCAGAAGGCTGGCAGCATTTCCAAGTTGGATAGCAATGCTAATTCTTTGTGCAAAATACGTACCGGCCTTCTGGTCTCCCGAGGCCTCAAATAGTTTTTTTTAAGGTCCTTAATAAAATACAATTAGACAAATAAATATTTCCAGAAAATAAATACCCAGATTACATGCAGATCAGAAATGAAGTTGGTCTGGACACTTAGCAAGCCGAATAGATAATAGATGCAATAGGACAGTGTCGGAGTGGTGGTCCAGATTAGGTCGTAGAGGTGCCGGAAGACTTCCGGCAAGGTGGCCCGGTGACATAGGCAGGACGGCCGGTCATACGGGGATGAGAGTTGCGGGCGATGGAACATTCTTTATTCTTTATTTGTACACACAGTTAATATAATACAGTAATTGTGATAAGATATAAAAAATGGCGAGCTTAACTCAACAATTGAGTTATCTACCAGCTAACCGTTCTTAAAGAAGGAAAGCTTTACATGAGTGGGTAGATGAGTACAATCTAATTAATTTAATTATTGATACAATAACAATAAAATTGATTGACAATAACAATAAAAATAATAAAAAACATTATGTCAAAAACGTGGAGCCTATGCCCAGCAGTGGGTATCAAAGGGCCGAAATGAATGAGTAGTTCATAAATAAACAACATTTTGTAGGTGTGTAATTGTGTTGTATTTTGTAATTTTTATATTTAATTTTAAACTACTACATTTTTTTGTTTAACACACACGTTGTTCAGAGGTTTCTGGAGCCCTCACAACTCCAATACCACGTTCCCCGGTGAGATCCAAGTCTCACTTGGACTTTTGCTCCTAGACCCTTCCAGGCGGAAACGCGCCTCCACCTTCGCAATTACACATATTTATAATACATTTATTGTCACAGCTTTGTTTTTGCTCCCTGGAGGGGCTCACGAGCACACGGAGCTCTGCGAAAGTAAAGCATTTATCTCATCCGGCAGTCTCGTAGTCGCGGCGATACAAGCCTTCGCTACTTCTAACATCTTAACTACTTACTTACAGTGATAACTGATTCTATCACTCGATTCTATCTATCGAACAGTAGAATATATCAGCACAATGAAGCGGTCGCGGGGCGGCGGGGCGGCGGGGCGGCGGGGGGCGGCGCTGGGTGACTCATGGAACATCCGGCAACGACTGGCCGTTTTTTTTAAATTAATGTTTTGCATTAACACACAAATACAGTTGGAAGTCGTTAGTTCCTAGCCTGTTGTACTACCATTGTGTGTCAACGTTTACGAGTGCTGTCCAAAAGTTGTGTACTTAAATGAGGTCGGAGACTGGAATATATTAATATTTAAGAGAAAGATATGCCGGATATTTTTATTTTAGTCATTTTTACATCGATATATATTGATGCATTTTTAAGTCAAATTTGGAAGAGAACGATAAGACAACGGGCGATAAGACAAGTGAAGTTCGTTGTAGTTTAGAAAGACATACTTTGTGTCACTATTGTCTTCGAACGGTAAAAAATCCTCGGGATTGTATTTAGAAGCAATCATTACATCATTCTAATTGACACAATCATTTTAATGACATAATTATAATAATGATTTATTAGCAAGCTGCGTCAACGCATAAGTCGTTAATCTATAAGAATCTAAGTCCGGTAGGCCCGCGTCCACGGCCTGCTCAGCGCGCCGCCACGCCGCTGACGTCACCGCGACGTCCGCAGACCCATCTGATAACTCACCAGCTCACACATCGCGTTCAAAGTATTACACGCAGGTTTAGGTACATCCTTACGTATCAGCCACGTATTCAATCATCGTTGAAAAATAAAAACCGCCATTGTACATGTGGCAGAGCGTAGTGTCGGTCCGCAAGAGCAGGTAGGTGCCGTAAGTGGGTAGGTAGATGAGTAGGTACCGCTATCCTACCTATTTCTGCTCAAAAATAGTCATGAGATTTGTTTCACAGGGTGGGACGGCTGTTATTATACAACACAATTAAGACTTAGACCTCAAGTCTTACAGCGAGTGGCAACATTTTTGTGGCTCCGGTAACCACTTATCACCTGGTGAACGTTAGCGCGTTGAACCATTTATGCAACAAAAATATTGACTAAGCAGTTCTAGTGCTACAGACTCTCGGATGTCCCAGCATCCCAGTAGGGCCGTCGCTGTAAGGCACTCTTCTTAGACGACTTCCCACAAGCCAGTACTTCTATTGGCTTCAATGTCCGATCTGAATTGTAAAGTTCACTTCCCACAGCCAGGAAATAAAAACACGGATTGCAGTAGTTCACTTGATTCTGTACTAGTCCACTTGTACAATTTTTAGGTATGTGTTCATTACAGGCTACACATCTTTTTGCCCATTTTTTCGTCTACCGCCTTTTTTATTATGACTCGTCCTCACTACCGCTATTGCTCCCACCAACAGCGTTGCCATATCGCAATCCGAAAATTGTCTAATTTTAACACGATAAATATTATATTATAATTATTTTACAGACTTTACATTTATAGATATCAATAATGATTCACATATTTTAAAAATATTATCAAAATATTTGGCGAGCCCGTCAAACCCTACAGATAACTCATAGATTAGCCTTAATAATTATCTAGTATGAAAATAAAAAGCAGTATATAAGGTCACAAAGCGACGTGCTATAGAGTAGGACTAACTCAGCCGACATGCGAGTCGTGTACTTTGTAGTCTTGGCTGCGTTGGCCCAGCACGCCAGGGCTGGCGACGCTACAGACGGAACCGAACTGGTTTCAACTTTTTTGGTAAGCATTTGTACATTTTGTTGACACTCTAGTTGAGTTCCTGATGCAAGTCTCTTTTTTATTGAAAAAAACCTTCAAAAGTTTTCTGTGATCATTGGCGGCTGGATTGTTGAATTCTGTCACAAACAACTATTACTGGTAGGACCTCTTATTTTCTGGTGGTAGGACCTCTTGTGAGTCCGCGCGGGTAGGTACCACCACCCTGCCTATTTCTGACGTGAAGCAATAATGTGTTTCGGTTTTGAAGGGTGAGGCAGCCATAACTATAATTGAGACCTTAGAGCTTATATCTCAAGGAGGGTGGCGCATTTACCTTGTAGATATCTATGGGCTCCAGTAAACGCTTAACATCAGGTGGGCTGTGAGCTCGTCCACCCATCTAAGGAATTAATTAAAAAATTAAACTATGATCAAAAATATATCAAAGTCTTTCTGCCGTGCGGACGTTGAGTACCAAGCAGATGATGGTACATAAAGTACATTGGCACTGGAAATGGGAAGGTGTGTTTGGTGAGGTTACAATGCGGCGTCTGTTTGTCCAGGTACATCGGCACGGCGACAGGACGCCGGTGGAGATCACCCTGGCCATGTCCACGGACCCCGCCGCGCTGGAGCAGGCCGCGGCTCCCTATGGCTTTGGACAACTCACTGAGGTATCGTTGTTTACCTTATTTTGTACCTAAACCAAATTGAACACTAAAAAGCAAGTTTGTCTAAATACTGACGATAGGCTTCAATTGTGAAGATACTCACAAAAAAGGAAACTATAATTCTTCATCTTCTTATCAGCCCATAGGCGTCCACTGTTGGACTATAATTATTACCAATTAATTGCCTTGGTACGAAAACCTTGAATCCCAATAACCCGCTTAGATTTTAGATTTAAATCTCTGTTTGTTTGTTTATTAGAATAGCAGAGTCATTCGGATTGTCAATAATCTCAATCTGACAGATTGCTTGGAACCTCTTTGTCTACGTAGGGCTTCAGTGCCCTCTGTGTTATGTACCGCACGTTCCATGAGGAGTGTTTTGAGCGATTGTTCGCGATAATCTCATTATCTCTTTTTTACAATGGCACCGCTCGCCGCTAGCGTAGAATCCACTAATGCTATCTGGAACCGCTGCCCTCAAGCACAGTACGTTTGCAGATAGATTATTTGTCAAATACTATCCGGCTCTGGAACAAACTCTCCTTCACGGTGTTTCCCATGAAAAGTTCTCCAATAAATGTCCTTCTGCAGACGAGGTTTGAGGAGTCCTCAGCAATAGCCAGCACACTTGCGTGTCCTTCTGGTATTGATGAGCGACGGTGACCTCTTACCATCAAGCGGGCCGTATGCTCGTCTGATTGTCGCTCGGAGTCCATAGACGCCCTGGATGTAAATACCACCGTCCACCTGAAGAGACACGGCTGAAATCTCCATTGCACTGGAATGATGGCTACTTGACTCAAAACGGCATGTACGATTGTTTAATAGCAAAATTAAGCAGTACACTGGTACCAGCCCACGTGGGCTCACGATTTATGTATTAGCGCGAGCAGCCTACATATATACATGTTGCCACCAGTTCGGTAAGAAGACCAGCTACAAAGTGGGAGAGTACATCAGGTCACGTTACGGCGCTCTGCTCTCGGACCGATACAACGCCTCCGAGATCTTCATCCGGTCCACGGACTCGACACGCACGAAGATGACTGTCCTGACCGCGATGGCCGCCGTCTACCCACCTCCTGAAGACAACTGGAGCTCAGAGATTCACTGGACCCCTGTGCCCTACACCACCGTGCCACCTAAATATGACCATGTGAGTACATGTGAATTAAAAATATATCCGATCCATCCAATGCTTACCACGGTTCTCCCCCAGGATGGCCTTAACGTGCGGTCCTGTGGATGTAATGTGATGTATTCGACGCCAAGCCTAAACTAGCGACCACTAGCTGTGTAGCATAATGGTGAAATAATAATCGTTACACTGAAGCACCAGTCACATCGAAACAGTGGCCTGCGTCGGGGCAGACCGCTGTAGTCTGCACGGCCGCCCCTGACCGTCGGCGACCTTCAAACACTCACAATATCAATGTAGACATGATGTAACCTACCAGTGTAGCGCAAGCCTCACTCAGGACGTAAGATTGTTAAATGAATCTACTACAGAACCTGGCCAACCTCAACTGTCCGGAGTTCATCTCGTTCTACTACGACCAGTTCATGAAACCTTCCGAGAAGATGGCACCCTACCGCGACTTCCTGGCGAGATGGTCTGAAATTCTCGGCTTCGACCTCGTGCAGATGCCCGCCTTGGCGTACATGTTCTACGACGTATACACTGCTCAGGTAAGCTCAGCCTGAGGCTTCAATTATATTCCGATTAATCATCTAAACACATTCAACAACAATGCTGAGTCCTCGTCTTACTGAGGCTGGGACACACAGACACACAAATATTAATCGTCATCGGTGCGTCATCGCTCCCTCCAGATCGTGCACTCCAGACAGCCACTTTGGACAAACTAAATAGAAGAGAACATTTTCCTCACGGTGCTGCTGACATTGTTTAATGCAAATGAGACCTGTAACTTAAGTCCACTTTCTTTCGAAATTAATAGTCGAAACTGAATCACACACAGTGTTCGTAGTAAATATACTTATTTGAGGGAGGGTCGAGTGAAAGGGAGAAACACTGAGAGCTAACAATGTGCCAGCTCGGGCTGGGCGTCCCGCTGGACGAGGCTACGGCGCAGAAGTTCCCCGAGATCGAGGCGGCGGCCGGGGCGGCCATCGACGTCGTGTTCGGAGATGAAAACTACATCGCGCTACAAGCGGGTCCGTACTAAGCTAACTCACCTTTATGGACAACTCTTTTCTTTGTTGCCTCAGTAAGTAGACGAGCACGCGGCCCCCCTGATGGTGAGCGATCGTCGGCGCTCATCGGCACGTGCGACACTGCGGCGGCCGGCGGTCGTGCAGTAGCATATGATCACTTGCATGCACCGTTCCTGTGTGCACTGAGCTGGCTCAAGGGTGCACTTTACAGATTGAACGTTATAGGCAATAGTTAATCACTGACAGACACGTGCATGTGTATGTATGTTGAGTGCGAGATTGTTATCACGAGTGTGGGTTTCCTCCCCAGGAGTGTTGCTGAATGAGTTCTTGAAGGCGGCGGCGGCGGTGGTGGGGGGCGAGAGCGCGCGGCGAGTGCACGTGTACTCCGCGCACGACTACAACGTCTACTCCCTGATGGCCGTCTCCAGGATCAGTCCGCGACAAGGAGTGCCCAAGTACGGCTCCGTATTCTCCCTCGAGCTGAGAAAGGTCACCGCGACCGGGAAGTATGTAGTTTTGGTGAGTGCAGAGTGGGGAGAGACTGTCAGGACACTCGGCAACACTTGATGCTCGCAGCGAGGAGCTTCATCTTTTGTGTTTAGGTTATTGTTATTTGAATATTATGACTATTTGGGAGTGACCGTCTTCACATAGCCTGCGCGTATAGGTGATTGGTTTCAAGATCTCTACACTTTAAAATTTGAATATTAAAATTCTATAAATAATTTTGTTCTGCAGTTTTAAGATTTCCTTTTTTTATGTAGTCAAATGAGCATACGATCCAAGTGATGGTAAGTGTATCGCTCAGATAACCTTCACCCATAGTTGCTGGCATCCTGGGCACAGGTCGCTGGCTGTCAAGAGAGATTTTAAATAGGTTTTCAAAAAGAACGTATCAGCCCTTCAACCGCAGTCCAGGTAGTAAAAAGAGATGACCGCACCCTCTCAAATAACTCCTACGGCGTCCTACAACATCCCACACGGTGCAAAACATACGGAAAAGAAAAATCGCTGCGTAGACCCTGAAATGCAAACCTTCAGGGAGAATAGATTTTTTAATAGTTCCAAGGACTCTCAGCTCTGTGAAGTCAGACATAAGGCTACTATATGGTAATTATATGGTAGAGTTGATACTTGCAAGCTCGGTCACGAGGGCCGCGCGTTCAGACCAGTCCACACCAGTCCGTACCGCGCAGTGGCTCGTAATACAAATGTTTGTTTACTTTCAGCCCGTTTATCTAAGATCTCCGTACGAGCAGATCCAGTACCTGCAGGTGGAGGGCTGCAGCGCGCTGCTGTGTGACCTGGAAGAGTTTCAGCAGCTCACCTCCCGCTACGTGCTCGAAGAGGACGAGTGGAGGACAAAGTGCGGCTTCACGCACGACCTCGAAGTGGACGACTCCAGCATTAACTAAGAGTGCTCAAGAAGGACGTCCCTCCCTTTATAAAAACGAGTGTTTGTTCAGTAGTGTCACCTCCGGTCCTGAAGTGGACCCCTGTGCAATAATCATGTCTTTTTTACAAATAATATTTATTTATTTATTTATTATGCACCAACAAACATTGAACAATTGACAAAAGTTCATGGCAGATGTCACCTCAATTATAGGTACAATCGATAGTGCATTAACAACAACAATAAAAAAAAAATATTATTAAGATTTGATTACATCTGATTGATTGCTTAAGATAAATTTATATTTAATGGGGAAATGATCCGCGACAGATTTTACCTGTAAGTTGTGAGACAATTAGAAAAAATATCTATTTCACTTAAAATTAGTTCAGCGCAATCGGACAACTCCGAAGGAACATTGACGGAGACCGCGCTACCCTGGACATTATTGTATTCCCAAAGGATTCTCTGATCTAATTATATGGGAATGAATATGATAGAGCGGCAACAGCACACGGGGCCGGCCCGACCCTGCTTTCGCCTGTCAGTCGGCCCACCGCGCGGTAAGCCACCCTCGCTGAGAGAACTTCCCTGTGTCGTTCCCTGTACGAGTACTCGCCCACTCGCGCACTCCTATTGTTCTAATGTTCAGATCGGAACTCAGGCCTGCTCGAATCAGAGGGACGGTTGTCCCTAGTACCCGCCTAGTCGTACGGGCCGCTGTTACTGCCACTGTCTAGCTTCGATGAGAGTCTATAACATCCCATTATTCCCATTACATTCAGTACCTGACGAACCACCATAGCATGATCTTCTGATCCATAATCTCAATGGCAACAAAACATAACGAGTACATGTTAGTGATATATTCAGTAAATATTCTAGATTACAGGCGTGTGACAGCAACAAATATTAATGTAAGTTTTGATAGTTAATAATTAATTAATTGCATTTATGTCATTAATGTGTTTGAAAAATCTTTAAAGTTTTCACAATGAAGCAATCACATAAACATCACAATGTTCAAGTATTTTAAATCAATCCAGTTTACCGAAATAAGCCATCACTAGTGCTATCTATTGCATGAAACACAAATGTTTCGCGCGAATTATAACTAGAGTTAGCGTATAATATTTGGTTGGCGAAATCACTCGTATTAGTTTACTAATATTACGCTAGATGGCATTAAAATAAAAAAAAAATTTTTTGAACTGTAAATACTTGATATTAGTGTATCTTCAATACGTGAAGGAAAAACTTTGTACCCTTTTTACGAAAATTGCGCGGACGGAGGAGTATGAAATTTCCTACACTTATAGAGAATATAGAGAAAGAGTGCAGAATGTTAATATTTTTTTAAATTATGCCTAAAAATACATTAAATCAATAAATAAAACATTACACAGCTACCATGTATTTGACGCACACACGCATGCATACTATTTATTTATTGTCAAACTTTTGTTCTTGACGTCTGTGGTCAAATTGAGAATAGATTAAAAATATTGTTTGTCTTTGTTAATATTTTTCTATAGTGTAGAGTTAGGCAATCGCCTGACGTCCGTATTTGCTGAATGCACATCGGATGACCCCGTGCGTCATAACAGAAACTGCACCGTTGCAGATTTAGCAATAAGTTTACTTAATAGATATATTGTAATTGTAAATTAGTCTTGTAGTACATTCAAACGAATAAACATCGTTTTAATTAAATAAATTCTTTTTTTTATAATTATCTCGTTCGCCGTTACTTAACTGTAGTCATGGCGATATTTGTGATTATCTAATATATAAAATTCTCGTGTCACGGTGTGCGTGATTGAACTCCTCCGAAACGGCTCGACCGATTTTCGTGAATCTTAGCGTGCATATCCGCCAGGGTGGAGAATCGAACAACATCTATTTTTCATCCCCCTAAATGTTAAAGGTGGTCCCAAAATTTTATTTTTTATTTTTTAGACAAAATTTTGTGTTTTTATTTTTTTATGATACCGCATCCAAAATACATACAACCCTAAATTTTCACCCCTCTACGATCAACCCTTATTTTTTATTTGTGAATTCAAAATAATTTTTTTGCAAGAATTTTGTTTTTATTTTGTCATGACTTAGAATTAAAATTTTCATATTACTCTGAAATTTTCACCCCTCTACGTTCAACCCCTATTTTTTATTTGTTAATTATAAACTTTAATTTTTTGGCACGATTTTTATTTTTATTTTGTCATGATTTAAAAAAAAAATCTGATGTTACTCTCAATTTTTCATCCCTCTATAATCAACCCCTATTTTTTGATTTGTTAATTATAAACTTTAATTTTTTTGGCAAGATTTTTTTATTATTTTGTCATGACTTAAAATAAAAAATTTCATAATCTATAAGATTCTCGTGTCACAACGTAATTTTTATTTTTTTTTGCTTAGATGTATGTTAGTTACCATACTCCTCTGAAACGGTTTGATCGATTTTTATGAAATTTGATATGCATGTTCAGTAGGTCTGAGAATCGGCTACTATCTATTTTTCATACCCCTAAGTGATAAATGTTAGGGGTTGTTCACTCCTAACATTTTTAATTTTTAATTTTTTGAACAATTTTGTTTTGTTATAATGAGGCGTTATGTGGTTGAATGAGGTTTTGTTATTTTTATATTCCCTCATCGTTCACAGCGCTACATGCCTCTATCACTCATTTACCACATCCTTACACACTTACAATAAGTTAGTTCTTTTTTTTATACACTAGAAATTCCCTAGCAGTCGTCACCGCAGTGTCTCGAAGAACGCACGCGCCGCCCGTCGGTCGTTGCCTCTCGCGGACTCGTAATTTTTCCACGTGTGATAACTACCTTCCCGTAATAATAATTTTGTTATCAATCAAATGATACTAAAGTACTCAAACTATATATAGTAATAATAAGAGTTTTAGTGTGTTTTTTTATATTGTTTCTGACTACAGGAACAAAATGAGTACCCAAATGTTAGTTAACAGCCCCAGTTACGCGAAAGTTGCACAAAATACGATGTTCCCAAAAAAAGATCAAGCCATTGTTATTGACGCGATAGAAAACGTGCAAATTAAAGATTATGCACAAGCCTTAGGGAAGGTCATAGATCCAACTCAAATAAGGTTTCTGTCTAGAATTTCTAATAACCGCATTTGTATATATTTGTCATCAAAGTCGATAGCTGATGACATCGTTGATAATAAAAAGTATATAACCGTACAGAACCACAAGCTACCAATTCGACCACTGATCAATAGAAACAAACGTATCATTCTCTCAAACGTATGCCCAATTATCCCTCACTCTGAAATAGAATCAAAACTGAAGGAAGTAGGAATCAATCCAATGTCGCCTATATCTTTTTTGAGGGCCGGTATCAACGATCCTGGATATAATCACATATTGAGCTTCCGCCGTCAACTTTTTGTGACTCCCGAGGATTTTTACCGCCTCCCAGAGAAGATCTCCATAGAATTTGAAGACACTCCCTACTGGATCTATCTATCGTCGGATACTATGACCTGCTTCGTTTGCAAGAGTGAGGGCCATATTGCTTCGAAATGCCCTCAAAACGAGTTAGGTATAACTTCTTCAATTGAAATTATGGACAACAGCGTGTCACAAAATGAACCTTCTAACTTTAAACGGCCACATCCACCTACTGAATCTTCTACAACCGATGAGCCCCAGGTATTTGAAACAGAGACCCCAGAAGAGACTATCATCGACTACGACAGTGACACTCTTTCACAATCAAGTTCAGAAGGAGCCATGAAGAGGAACAGTGTTAAAAAACTTAGGAAGTCACCCCAGATCGACTTAGACTTACAAAACTGGAAAGATATTGAACACTTTTTATCAAGCTCTGTCAAACCCTACCCACTAACAGGAGTTCAAGTAAAGAATTATCTGGAACACACCTATGGTGTCAAAGACATCGAAGAAATCACGGCTAATTACACTGAGAACATTGACGATTTAATTATGCTTTTTAAAGACTTAATTCCCATTATTGCAAGTCGTTCTGTTAAAAATAGAGTTACTCGTATTGTTTCTAAACTTAAATCTATTAAAAATAAACAATAAGTATAATATTATGTGTAATAATAGTAAAGTCAACAAATACATAAATTTAAAAATTGTACAGTGGAATAGCAGGAGCCTTAGTCCTAAATTATGTGAATTAGAAACATACTTAGTTAGAGAGAAAATCCATATTTGTATATGTACGGAGACATGGTTGTCACCTGAGAAAAGGGTAAGTGTGCCCGGTTTTTATTGTTTTAGAGAAGATAGAGAGGATGAGCACGGAGGGGTTGCCATTTTTGTACATAATTCGATTAAAGCAAAGTTAGTTACTACAAATATTCCGAACTGTCGGATGGAACTCATTTGTATACAGATTATTAGTTTTAGTAAAATTAAGAACATTATAGCTATTTATTCACCACAAAATGTCAATGTCAGTAGATCGGATTATGATAATTTATTTAGCTTCTTTGATCGAAACACTTTGATAGCGGGAGATTTTAATGGGCATCACGCTGCGTGGTCCTATAAAACTGATACTAGGGGTCGTCTCATCGCGGAGGCAAGTATAGATCATAATTTCGTGTACTTAAATGACGGCGAACATACACGATTTGCAATGCATAACGGTGAAGCTGTCTTATCTGCGCCGGACATCACCTTTGCAAGCTCAGATATAGCCCTAGATTTTGACTGGTCTGTAACAAACGAATGTTTTGGTAGCGATCACCGTTTAGTTCTACTAAAGCTACATGATTCATTTAGTTATGTGCCACCAAGCAGTAAACGAAATATAAAAAGTGCAGACTGGCATTTATATGAACAAGAAGTGGGCGCAAGCTGTGTGGATTTTGACTTGAATAATGATTTGCAGGACTGCTACGATAGGCT